CTCTCTCACATCAATGTTTCTCTTTCTCTCCTCCCTCTCCCTTCCTCTTTCTAAAATCAATAAAAATCCTATATAATAAAAGGCTAATATGTCCCCTTTGACTGGGAGTTTGACCAGGGAGCAGGGCCAGCCAGCCAAACTCCTGTGTGTCGTCTCCCCCTGCCCCCGCTGGCCTGGCCGGACCTGACCTTCTGGACCTGACTCGTGCACACATTTGTGCACCGGGCCTCTAGTATATTATAAAAATAAAATAAAACATTTTTTATAAAATAAATACTGAAATATGGTTCGTGTCTGTCTCTGTCTGTCTCCTTCTGTCTCTGTCTCTTTTTGTTAATCCTCACCTGAGGGTGTTTTTCCTGTTGATTTTTAGAGAGAGTGGAAGGGATGGGGAGAGAGAAAGAGAGAGAGATAAAACATTGATGGGTTGCCTCAGCTGGGGCCAGGGAACAAACCTTCAATCCAGGTATGTGCCCTTGACTGGGAATTGAACCCAAAAGCTGCCACTGAGCCACACCACCCAGGGCTTGTCTCTATTTCTGTTATTTTTGTTATTTCCATAGTGTTGTTTGGTGAAATTTGAATATTGTAAGACAATTATAAAATCAGCATTTGAGGGTTGGAGAGAACTTTCTTTTTTTAAATCCTTACCTGAGGATATTTTTCCATTGATTTTTATTTATTTTTATTTTATTTTATTTTATTATTATTTTTTAAATATATTTTATTGTTTTATTACGGAGAGGAAGGGAGAGAGAGAGAGCTAGAAACATCGATGAGAGAGAAACATCGCTCAGCTGCCTCCTGCACCCTCCCTACTGGGGATGTGCCCGCCACCCAGGTACATGCCCCTGACCGGAATCGAACCTGGGACCCTTCAGTCCACAGGCTGATGCTGTATCCACTGAGCCAAACTGGCTAGGGCAAGGTTGGAGAGAACTTGTAAAGATCATCTTGTCTACTCTCACATATTATAGAAAAAGAAATATTATATTTCATTGATTCTGAGATGTACATTTTCTTTACTTTAAAAAAAATCTTTATTGTTGAAAGTATTACAGATATCCCCCTAGATTCCCCCATTGCCTCCCTACACCCGGTTCTGCCCTGCCCCATACATTTTAACTTCTCTTGAATCATGATGCAGCTTAACAGTTAGTAGTATCTTAGATTCGATGGAATATGGTAAAAGCCCATTAGGATTGTGACTTCTCCATAAATTCTTAGTGGTACAGTTCAAGGCTTCTGTTTATATTACCCCCACCTGGAAAACCTTTCTCTCTTTATTTTTTTATATCCAAATTCTGCTCAGATCAGATTTTTATCCCAGGAAATCTTCTCAGTCCCTTTACTTCACAGTGATCCTTTCATCTTTCCTATTGTCATTATTGACTACATCATTTATTTGATATTTGAACTTCTATTTATTTGCTATACTAGAGGCCCGGTGCACAAATTCATGCATGGGTGGGATCCCTCGGCCTGGTTGGCAATCGGGCAATTGGGGCCAATTGAGGCCAGCGGCTTGGGGGGGGGCGGTGCACGGGAGGTTAGCTGGCTGTGGGAGCGCACTGAGCACCAGAGGGCAGCTCCTGCATTGAGCGCCTGTTCCCTGGTGGTCAGTGCATGTCATAGCTACCAGCCGATTGTCCAGTCCTAACAGTCACTTGGGCTTTTATATATATAGATTGTTACTTTGGTTTTGTCTTCTCTTCAATTATAAGTTCTTGGAGTCAAGGGAGTGATTTTATACTTCTTTGTGTCTTCTAGTGTCTGCTTGATAAATATTCATTGATTGATTAGAGTACTATAATTAGTAGTTAACCATTAGTACAACCTGAAGCTTATTAATGTTCTTTAATGGTGAAGAGAACCACATATAAAACATTTAGAACAGTGCCTGGCCCATAGTTAAATGCTAGATAAATGTAGAACTAGTACTTCCACAATCACTATCACCACCACAACTACAATAATCTGTTCTGTGCCAGGCAGCATGTTAAGCATTGTATACATACACTAGTGGCCCGGTGCATGAAATTCGTGCACACTAAAAGGGATTAATTATAGGAAATATTTTAATATTGCTATTTGCCCTTTCTCTAGAAGTGTCAGAGATGAAAGAAAATTAGTAAAATGTTATGAAAATCTTCCTCCTGTCAGAGTCTGGGGCACACCACAGGACCCAGAGTCAAGTCCCCGCCCACCCACATGGGCCTCAAAATTGCATGAGACCCAGACCCAGCTGGGCCCCCCACCATTGGGCTAGATCCAGACCCAACCTTTCCCACCCTTGTCAAGCTCCACAGGGCAGGGGGAGCAGCCTGAGTTCCCTTGGCCCAGCACAGGGCGGGGGATGTACCTTGAGGTCCCCCGTCAAGTCTGCCGGGCTGAGGGCGTGGCCTGAAGTCCCCCGGCCTGGCGCCAGGGTGGGGGGCGCAGCCTGAGGTCCCCTGTCAAGTCCCATGGAGGTGGGGAGGGGGCGCAGCCTCAGGTCTGCTGATTGCTCGTTAAGGCTCATTATGGGAACTCGGCCTCCACTATGGGTGCAGCCATCTTGTGTTACGGAAACCCCTCTCCTGCTCCACTATGGGCGCCGCCATCTTTGTGGCAGAATGATGGTTAATTTGCATAATCCCTCTTTATTATATAGGATTATTTTATTTTTCTTCACAACTTTACAAACTAGGAATCATTATACTAATTTAACAGTTTAGGAAACAGACCAAGAGATTTGACTGCTTGCCAAGGTCCCCAAACTAAAATTTGCCAGTAGTGGTTAAAACCCACACTTCTGCCTCTTACTGTCCATGTTCTTGCTGCTCTGTGCCACTGCTGATTGGGTTATGAGGGCTTTGGTAACAGCCCAGTAAACAGGGTAGAAAGACAAGAATGGATACGTACTTTCCTCTCTGCTTAAGAACTTTTTCTTATAAATACCATGTATTAAGTGGTGAATAGACCTTGTGAGAAGTAGATGTACGCTGCCCTTTGCTGCGGACTCTTAGTTGCTGGCGGCTTGGCTGTTAGTGCAGGTGCGTGTGTGACACTTTTTCAGGAATGAATTCTTGTTACAGATAGCAGAATGGAATTATATGTCTGCTCCATGATTCTACTCCTAGTGTTCACATGTAATTGTGATTGCTAGGCCTCTCTCCTCACTTAGTGTATTAAAGAGTCACATCCAGGACCGCTACTTCTGCCTGCTCCATGACCACACAGTGTGTTTGTATATTGCCCTGAGCTGTCAGCAAAACATTTTGCTGAATATCCTTTTTTGTTGTTGCTCTGCAACCTTTTTTCCCTGGCCTTTCTCGGTTGTGTAAAGTAAGTTTCTTTTTTGGCCTTTCCATCCCAAAGAGGGAGCAGTTACTGCAGAGAAGCTTGAGTATGAAGTGAGGCATCATTGAGATTAAAATGAATGGTTAGACAGCTGGCAGGATGAAATGAGACTTTCTCGGTGCCTGGTGTGTGATTCGGCTCTGATTATCTCCTTTCTCCCTCATTTTCAAACCTGCCTCTGTATCTAATCCACCAGTGGGTACTCCAGTACCTTGTCTATAGGGAGCTTAATCTAGTGCAGTACTCACTGCTCCTTGCAGGAACCAGGAAAGAAAGGTTACAGCTAGCCCCATCTTCTCCATCTCTGAGTGAGGCAGTAAAGAGGGATTAGACAATCTTCCATAAAAAACAACTGTGTGTTTCCCATATGGTTGCACATGCCCAGGTTTGGCTTCCTCCCAGGTACTCAAGCCCAGGTACTTGGAGAAGAATGCATTTTGTATCTTCTTATCTCAGATTTTTGAGCACCACCAACTGGAATTCATTCTCTTCTGTCATTGGATATAAAAATGAAGACTATTGGCATCTATTATCACAATATTGCAAGTTATTGACATATTTCTAGTAATCCTGTGCACTGATTTTTTGAGGTTTGATACTTTTTATGTTGGTATTTATTTTTCAAAGCAACTTAGTTGTTTTTCATGTTAAATCCCTCTGTGATTATAATGCTCAATTGATGATTATAGCTCAAAGAAATCTGGTACTTGAGTATCAACAAATGTTAGGTAAAATTTCTCCATTTCTGAATGAAATCATTTATAATTTATATTTATCTAATCAGAGTAAAGGTAAGCCCATTTAGATGGGTAGTATGGAATATTTCAGACCATTCCATTTTGATGAATTGGCTATTGCTAGAAATTGGCATTAAACTGCGACAATAAAATGAACTTTGTGTCTGTGACTGAAAGTCATCAATGATAACATTGTAGACCGTGTATAATTTAAGTGGATACATAACAGGGAACTTGAGCCAAGATAGAGATACAAGAAATATTTTATGTGAATAAATCTTTTCTTTGGAGTTCAGAATAGTTTGCAAACAAAAATCCCAGTTTCATATAGCATCTTTTAAGAGTTTTTTTTAGTGCAGCTCACAGCTGAACTAGAGGATGAATTGAGACTCCCCTCACCACCCCATCCCCCCAATTGCCAGTCATCATTAGACTAAGGACTGGCATCCAGGTTTCTGACTCACAATTTAAATGTATTTTCCTTTGGACAACCAGATGGATCCTACTCAGAGGAAAGCCTAATTTTGGCCATTTAAGAGGCAGTTTTCTATGGAATAGGTGAAGCTAGAAGAAACCAATTTTGAATGGAAAATGATCCCCCCCAAATTTTAGTTTTAAGAGCAAAGCTGTGATTAGAGCTTGAAGTGTAATAAAGGTAAGAACAAAAGGTGGTATTTCCCACAAAAAAAGATAATAGGAAATTACAGAATTACCAGGTGTGAATGGTCTTTGATAAATATACAGTGTGCTCAATAAGTGAGATATTGGCCCTGGCCTGTTGCTCAATGGTTAGAACATCCACCTACAGACTGAAGGGGGAGGCAGCCAGTTGATGTATCTTTCTCATGTTGATGTTTCTCTCTCTCCCTCCTCCCTCTCTGTCCCCCTACCCCTCCTCCACCATCGCTCCCTTCCACTCTCTCTAGAATCGATGGAAAAACATCCTCAGGTGAGAATTAAAAAAAAAAAAAGTGAAATACTAGAATATAGAAGTCCTATTTCCTGGGCTGCTTTCCCCCAACCAAATCAGGATAAGAAGAAGCCTTACATTTATTGAATGTAGGTCCATAGCTGGTATTCCTTTATGAAATTAGAAATTTCTCCTTGTTTCACATCACAAGTAAGCTCTTTTTTCTTGTTTCTCCCAATCAGATACTTTATCTGTCCACCTTGGGAGTCCCATTTCTGTCTTACTCTTTTCCACATTACTCTAGTGACCTAAACTAATTTGTCAGTAACACCTTGTGTTTGGAGAGAGTCTGGTTATATTTGTAGGTTCAGCTCCACACTGAATTTCAACAGGATGTGGGTGGGTGTGTGAGTCTATAATGAGGCATTC